TTTGGCAGAATTTTGCTCTGCTGCTCAGGCTGGAGTGCAGTGGCACGACGACGGCTCGTTGCAGCCTCAACCTCAGCCTCCTGGGTCGTTGGGACCACAGGCTCATGCCACCGCACCAGGCCAATTTTTAAAATTATTTGTAGAGATGTGGTCTTCCTATGTTTCCCAGGCTGGTCTCGAAGTCCTGGGCTCAAGTGATCTTCCCGCCTTGGCTTCCCAAAGTGCTGGGATTACAGACCTGAGCCACGTCACCCAGCCTTTGGGTCCTTCGTGTAGCCCAGAGGGAGACATTATAAGCCCCATTTTACAGATGAGAAAACTGAGATCCGGACAGGCGAGGTGACTTGCCGGAAACTGCAGACCCAGGACTAACAGGAGCCGTTTCCCCAAAACTGTTTAGTCTTCAGCAACCAGCTATGGGATGAGAGCCCCCCATTTGTTCCCATCCATCCCATCTTGCCACCTAGGGACAGAGCTGCCCACAATTCTGCAGTGGAAAGGCAGAGCGTGCCCCGGGCATGAGGCGTGGAGGGACTACAGGGGATCTCGCCTCTGAATCCCAGTCCTGTCTACTCCCCACCAAGGCAATCACCCCCACCCCAGGGCTTCCTGAAGCTGCGGTGGTCACGCTTCGCCCGTGTCCTCCTCACCCGCTCCTGTGCCATCCTGCCCACCGTGCTTGTAGCTGTCTTTCGGGACCTGAGGGACTTGTCGGGCCTCAATGATCTGCTCAACGTGCTGCAGAGCCTGCTGGTGAGATGCGAGTGCTTCCCCAGCCCTGCCCACCGCAGAGCTAAACAGGACCTCCAGCAACCCCCATGCTGAGCCCCACCTGGGCCTGCCAGGCCCTGTCCCAGGCACACCTTGCCTATAAGGCTCCCACAATCCCCAAAGCCACCCTGGGGGCAGGAAGGTAGGACTTTCTTTCTTTTTTTTTTCCCCAGAGACAGTCTCCCTCTGTCACCCAGGCTGGAGTGCAGTGGTTCCATCATGGCTCTCTGCAGCCTGCCCTCCCCGGCTCTAGCCATCCTCCCACCTCAGGCTCTTGAGTAGCTGGGACTATAGGTGCACACCATCACATCTAGCTAATTTTTTTTTTTTTTTTTTGAGATGGAATTTCACTCTTGTTGCCCAGGCTGGAGTGCAGTGGCAAGATCTTGGCTCACTACAACCTCTGCCTCCCAGGTTCAAGCCTTACTCTCCTAAGTAGTTGGGATTACAAGCACCCACCACCACACCCAGCTAAATTTTTTTTTTTTTTTGAGACAAAGTTTCACACTGTCACCCAGGCCACAGTGGCACGATTTCAGCTTACTCCAACTTCTGCCTCCTGGGATCAAGCGATTCTTCTGCCTCAGCCTCCCGAGTAGCTGGGATTACAGGCGCCTGCCACAATGCCCAGCTAATTTTTGTGTTTTTAGTATAGACGGGCTTTCATCATGTTGGTCAGGCTGGTCTCGAACCCCTGACCTCAGATGATCCACCCACCTCGGCCTCCCAAAGTGCTGAGATTACAGGCATGAGTCACCGCGCCCGGTCAATTTTTTTGTATTTTTAGTAGCGATGGAGTTTCCTCATGTTGGCCAGGCTGGTCTGGAATTCCTGACCTCAGGGATTACTCACCTTCGGCCTCAGTGGATCACTTGCCTCGGCCTCCCAAAGTGCAGGGATTACAGGCATGAGTCACTGCGCGAGGGATGATTTTTTTTTTTTAAGTAGGGACAAGAGCTCACTATGTATGTTGCCCAGGCTCATTATCCCATTTTACAGATGGGAAAAGTTAAGTTACTAGTGGCAGAGCTGGGATTCAAACCAAAGCAGCTTGGTGCCAGAGCCCCAAACACTTTCTCCTGCTTTGGAGCCCATGACCTTAGAAGGCAGGAGACAGGGAAGCAGGCTCAGTGTGATTAGGACAGTCAAGCTCACAGCCAGGCAGAAGGTGACAAGCAACGCCCATGTTGCCCCCACCCTTGCCATATTCTGAGGCAGGATCCCTCAGCTTCGGCTCCTGCTGCTCTTCCCAGCTCCCTTTCGCCGTGCTGCCCATCCTCACATTCACCAGCATGCCCGCCCTCATGCAGGAGTTTGCCAATGGCTGGTGAGTACCCCCATCCCCAGGGCTGGACTTGCATCACCACATTTCATCCTCACAGCCACCCAGAGGTACGAGCTCCAATTCTCCCCATTATCCCAATGAAGCTGCAGAGGCCCAGAGAGGCTTAGGAACTTGCCCAGGGTCACCCAGCCAGCAAGTGGGGGGGCGAAGACTGGAATCCAGGGCAGAGGGCTGTTTCTAGAGCCTGAGCGCTTCACTCTGGCCTCCGAGTCAGCTTTTGCCAAATCCTGCCAGTGTGCAGCCTGGAGGACCAGGAGGCAGGAGGTGGGCAGGGGGGTCTGTCTGCTCCAGGTCCCGCAGCCCAGAGAAGTGGCCTTTGTTTATCCACCCCCACCCCAGTGTGGGCACTGGGAGATGAAGAGGAGTAGATGCAGGTGGTCCAGCTGCCGCCAGCCAGTCCCGAGCCTCTCTTGTGTCCCCCAGGCTGAGCAAAGCCATCACCGCCTCCATCATGGCGCTAGTCTGTGCCATCAACCTCTACTTCGTGATCAGCTACCTGCCCAGCCTGCCACACCCTGCCTACTTTGGCCTTGCGGCCCTGATAGCCACAGCCTACCTGGGCCTTACCACCTACCTGGTACAGTAGGGCTGGGGGGTGCCTTGGGCATGGGTGAGGCAAAGACAGGAAGCAACCAATGGGGAGGATCTGGGGGGACACACTGGGGCTTCCCCAGAGGTGTTGGCCTCTCCCCAACTCATGGTCACCCCTCCCCCAGGTCTGGACCTGTTGCCTTGCCCATGGAACCACCTTTCTGGCCCACAGCTCCCACCGCCACTTCCTGTATGGGCTCCTTGAAGAGGACCAGAGAGGGGAGACCTCTGGCTAGGTCCACACCTGGAACCTGGCTGGGAGTGGCATGGATGGCACGACTGGCCTGTTGGATGTGGAGGGGGCGCATGCAGGCAGCAGGATGCAGTGGGACACTTCCTGAGGCCGGTCAACCTGGGGAGCCTCAGGGACCTGCTGTTTCCTAGCACAGCCATGTGATTACCCTCTGGGTCTCAGTGTCCTCATCTGTAAAACGGAGACACCGCCACCCTTGCCATGGAGGTTAAGCACTTTAAACATAGGCCCTGGCACTTGGAGCCAAAAAACAAAAAAAATTCAAGAGGTATTTATTCATTGATCTGATAGCCAAAGGGCAGGTGGGATGGGGACTGGGGGACTTGGAGGCTTGGGCGGGACACAGGTTCCAAACTAGAGCTTGAAATAGAGTCTGATGAATGTTAAGTATTTTATTTATTTATTTATTTATTTGAGACAGGGAAAGGGTCTCGCTCTGTGGCCCAGGCTGGAGCGCAATGGCGCGATCTCGGCTCATTGCAACCTCCGACTCCTGGGTTCAAACAATTCTCGTGACTCAGCCCCGGGAGTGACGTGCGCCACCAGGCCCGGCTAATTTTTGTATTTTTAGTAGAGACGGGTTTTGCCATGCCGGCCAGGCTGGTCTCGAACTGCTGGATTCCAGTGATCCGCCTACCTACGCCTCCCAAAGTGCTGGGAATTACAGGCACCAGCCACCACACCCGGCATGATGAAAGTTAAATAAATACTAGTACGCCTCTCATCCAAAGGAGCAGGGGACGGGAATCCGGAAGGCACCAAGTCTCCAAAGCATTCAGAAGACCCCTAGGCCTGGGTCTGGTCCGCACCTATTCGCCGCAGCCTTTCTGTTCCGCCTGTAACCCATTTTTCCAGACAGTAAAACGGAGGTGCGCTACTTTCTCCGTCAGGCACCAGGTCATAAGGAACTCAAGAGTCCGTGCCTCTGAGGCCCAAGTTTTTTGCCGTTTCCTCAGGGGACCCGGCGGCCGCGACTCCCACGCTGCGCGGTTACCGCTCCCTCTCAGCTGACTGCTCCTCCTAGAGGTAGAGACCATACCGACGCAGGCCCTCCCTCCTTGGCCTCACCCCTCCCCGCCAGGCGAAACGACGGGTGGAGGCGGGCACTCGGGGCTCCCGCCCAGGGGCCCCAGAAGCCTCCGAGGAGAGTGGGTGGGGGGAAGCTGTGTGGGCAGGGAGCCCCCTCTGCCTTAGGGAGCGGCTGGGCATCCCTTCGCCCCATTCAAGGGCTGCACTTTATAGACACTCCCTAGGCTGTTTCTAGGCTCCCCCAAGTCCCTCCTCCAACCTCCTTGGGACCCTGGTACCCCAGCCCCAGATCCGCGGAGTGCGGCACGAGGAGGGGCCGGCGGGCCTTTCCCCAGAGTTGAACTTGGGCCGGGTGCTGCACCTGGAGGAACCCCCGATTTCCCAGGGACCCAGCAGAGTAGGCGGCTTGGCTCCGCGTTCCGGTGCGGACGCTTGTTTATGAGAAGAATTTCCTCTTTCTTAAAAGGGCAACGATGCTAGTGGGTCCCTCAAGGAGAGAAGGGATGGGACCCGTCTGGCGCGACCTGAGCCAGTGCTGCAGAGGGTACCTGGGCAAGAGGGTCGCCTGCCTCCTTCTCTGGGGTTGGCACTGGAGATGGGTGCCAGCTGAAGATGAATGGGGGGCGTGCAGCGGAGACAGGCATCTCCCAGATCTTTCAGCCTCCTGGAAATGCCTCAGTTGTACCCTCTACACACTCCTCTCATGAATTCACTTGGCATTGAGTGCCAGTCCTTTGCCAGGCCCTGTGTTACAAGTGGGGGAGGGAGGCAAAGTCCCGAATTAAAGGTGCCAGCTCTCAAGGGCCCCACACTCCAGTGGCGGGAGACAGCTGTGCAAACAAGTCGCCGTGGCAGGATGCGGTGAAGCGCGCTGCCGGTGAGGCCGGCCAGGGAAGGGGACTGAATTTTGCTGAACACGGTTCGGGGGTGGGGGAAAGTGCCGACAGGACTGTCCAGGAGGAACAGAGCCAGGAGCGTGGGTGCCCGTGAGCGCACATCTGCCAATACATGAAGCCTTCTGGGGACGTCTTAGATTTTGCGGGGCAGGACTGGGGGGACCGCAGAGGAATGAGCACGTTGATCAAGAAGGCGCGGAGGGCTGGCTGAGGGGCTACCCAGGGCCTGGGCAAAGGGCTGTTAATGAGGTGGCACCAAGGTCAGTCATTTGGAGACTGGAAGGAGTCTACTTAGGGCTGCCCCCATTCCCATAGTAGCTTTAATCCTCCCAGCCCAAGGTCAGATCTACTCTCCAGGAAGAGGGGTGCAGAGTTGCTCTTCTGGAAGCTCCCTTTAGGCCCCTCAGGGAGGGCGTGATCGCACTTGCCACTCCCCAGGAGCCTGCTGAGCGCACCCCGACTTTGCACGCCCTCCCCATCCCCCTGGGTTGGGCTTTTACCAGCCCCATTTGGCAGATGGGGAAGCTGAGGGGCTGGGTTGGAAGAGACGCTTCCTAATCCACAGGTGCCAGACAGGACCCTGCTGAATCCCGTTCCTGCCCCTCCCCGTTTGACTTGCGGCCCCCAAGATTTTATTTTGCCTGGGGTGCGAATCGGTAAAACAGACAAAAAGAGTGCATACAGCGACCCCCACCTGTAGAGATAGAGGGGTACAGCAGCCGGGTGTAGACAATCCCAATGAGGATACCCGAAGTCCCCCCGCCCGCCGTCCCTGGCCACGCAATCCTACTGGTTTCCCGACTCACTCCGTAACTAACTACCCGCCCCGAGGCGCGGGAAGAGAAGTTCAGGGCTCCAAGCAAAAGGCGCAGCTGCCTTGGCCGCCTAGGGAGCCTGGGAGGAGGGGTTAGGTCTCCGTGGGAAAAGACCTGCAAGGGCCAAGGCTTGGAGTGGCTATAGGTGGGAGTGGAGGAGGTGGGGGGATCCTTGAGGAATCCGGTGAGCTCAGGACGGCCCGTCTAGGAATGGTGGGTGGAGATTAAGCCGGCCAGGTTCCAGTCCCCTTCACAGAGGGAGAAAAGGAGGGAGAGGAAGGCGCGTCACCCAGCCCAGGCCAAGGGCGAGGCTACGACTCCACTCAGTCCCTCACCACACGCTTCCTTTTGGGGTCAAGAGGGCCCAGCATCCGGAGATAAGACTGAAGCCCCACCCAGGGGGCCGGACCGCGGGGGAGACCGCTGTCCTGCTCCCAGGCTGGAATCCCGCCTTTCCCCTCGCTTGTAGAGCCAGGGCACGTCGCTTCCTTTCTTCAAGCTCAGTTTCCCCATCTATGAAATGGGATAAGAAGGAGGCCGTTCTAAGGTGGAAATGAGATTAAAAGACGCAGCCAGAACAGGCTGCTGGGACAGCGCCAGCGTTGCGTGGCGATCACGGTGATGAAACGCAATGGTGGCCGCCCCGTGGGCTCCCCAGGAGCCGGAGGAGGGCCGATGGGTCCAGCCTGGGAGGATCAGTCCCCTCCCGCGCCCGCTCCTAGCCTCGGGGCACGAAGCCGCCGCGCCTTCAGGCAGGCACCGCCCCCCTCCCTTCCCCTCCCGGCCCTCGCGCGGGGCCTCCCCTCCCCGGCTCCCCCTCTGCAGGCCCTGGCGGACGTGCGCCGCGTTGCACCCGGCGGCGGGACTGGACAGGACGCGCCCGCCCCGCCCCGCCAAAGAGGCCCCAGGGGCGAGCGGGAGGGGAGGAAGTGCCGAGGCGTGTTTATCGGGCTTGGCGTTATTCTTAATTTTTAAATGGTGAACACAAAATAGTAACGACGAGTGAAAAGGACGTCATAAACCGGGGAAAAGACCGGCCCGCAGACCCACGGCGCGCACCACGAAGGGGCTTCCCGCGTGAAGACGGGGACCTCCGTTCCCAAGTGCCAGCACTGCGCCAGAGGCCGGGTGGGGCGGGCCATGAGAGTCTCTGGTTTGAGGTCCCCACGTTCGGACTTTGGGCCCACTGCGTGCGGCGTCGTGCTGGGCTCCAGGGACCGGTAGCGAGTCCCGTGACCCCCACCGCACCCCCAGTAGTCACAGGGCGGCCGGCGAGCGCGGGCAGGGGAGGGGGTCTGGGAATGGCCCTGGAGAAGGTGGCATTTCCTCAAGGTCGGTGGGATTTGGCTACGCAAAGGGAACTGCGCGTACTAAACTTCAGGCGGGAACGCGCGGTGGCCCGGGACCTGCGGGTGGACGTGCTGGGAGAGGTCGGCAGGCCGCTTCCCAGGGCCGGGAGTTGGAATTTCACGCCCTGCAGACCGGGGGCACCTCGCCCTGGGGCTGCGGGGGGCGGTCAGCGACCGTCCCATTCAAGAGCGTGATTCTGACGTTTGCGCAGATACTTGGAGCCTGCAGAGCCTTCGCTGGCTCACGAGGTCCTTGCGAGGTGACCCCCGCGACCACCAGACCCATTTCACAGATGTGGTAGCGCTATCCCCAAGTCCTCAACGGGGAAACCAAGAAACGTCTAGTTCAGGTCCTCAGAAAGCGCAGAGGTGGAGCCGCGGAGCACTCGGGCACTCCCCAGCGTGGGCACTCCGGGCAGGCGGGCCTTGGCCCGGGGCGCTCGGCAGCTTGGAACGGTGGGCCGGGTACCGGGCCTGCCACGCAGCCGCAGAGGCTCGGCCCCGCCGGCGGGCGGCAGGAAGGGAGGGGACGCCTCCTGGAGCGCGGCAGGAACCCGGCCCGGCCCGCCTCCCAGTCCGCCTAGCCGCGCCGGTCCCTGAAGTGAAAGCCGCGGCCAAGTCCAGGTCACACCGAAGCCATTGCCCTTTTAAGGGGGAGCCTTGAAACGGCGCCCGGGTTCCATGTTTGCATCCGCCTCGCGGGGAGGAAACTCCATGTTGTAACAAAGTTTCCTCCGCGCCCCCTCCCTCCCCCTCCCCCCTAGAACCTGGCTCCCCTCCCCTCCGAAGCTCGCGGGGATCCCTCCCTCCCACCCCTCCCCTCCCCCCCGCGCCCCGATTCCGGCCCCAGCCGGGGGGGAGGCCGGGCGCCCGGGCCAGAGTCCGGCCGGAGCGGAGCGCGCCCGGCCCCATGGACAGCTCGGCCGTCATTACTCAGATCAGCAAGGAGGAGGCTCGGGGCCCATTGCGGGGAAAAGGTACTGGGGCTGCGGGGAGGGGGCCGAGGCTGGGGCGCCGTGGGAGGAGAGGAGGGGCCGGGATCTTCCCCGGGGGAGCCGCCCGAAGCTCCCAGCCCGTGAGGGAGCGGGGAGAGAGTTTGCACTCGAAGGAGGCTCAGAGACGCGGGGCGGGGCCTGGCGCCTTTGGGGCGCTCCCGTCCGCTAGAGGTGAGGAAACTGAGGCAGGAGTAGAGAAACTCCTTTGGGGGCTCCCTGGCTGGCATTGCATGGTGCATGGGCGTCCCCCCCCATTGGCGCCAATGGGGCTGGGAGATGGGGGGGCTGAGGAGGGCGCCCATGGGCCACCCGCTGAGACTCCGCCCCACCCCCCCCAGGCTGTGGTCCGGTAGGGTCTTGGGAGGGGGTGCCGAGGTGACAGCGGGCTGGGGAGGCTTGAAGGGATCTTCCGCCAACACACAGCCACGTTCCCACAAACTTCGCGTCACGCGTGGTGGCGCCGAGCCCCTCGGAGGCACAGAGGACGGCCAGAACTTCCAACAGTCGCCTGGCGCCCGCGGGGACTCTTGTGCCTAGTGGGCACGCACCACCCCGCGAAGGCTGCGCCTCCGGGTGGCTGGACCGGGGTGGGGGTCTGCCCCTCTTCTTCCCTGTGTGGACCTCAGGACCTGGACGCTGCCCCCAGGTCTGCCCACCCCCACCTGGGCCTGGCTGCCTCGGAGCAGGGGGCAAGGTGGAAAAGCTAGTTGCAGAGGGCTGGAGGGGGTGGGGTGGGTGGGGTGTCTGTCAATCAGGCAGCCGTTGCCGGGCTCCAGGTCGGAGGTCGGCGGAGCGGGGCAAACAGATGGCCGCTGGACACTGGACCCAGACCGCGGGTCTGCACCCCTGACTCTGGGTCCGGCCGCAGTGAGGACTTTGTCCCACAGGGGTGGAGAGGATAGAGGGAGGGGCAGGGGTGGACAACTGTCCTAAGCCCCAGGCCCTGACTCTTCTGAGCCGGAGTGCTCAGGTAATGTGGGGTCATGATCATCAGCAGTCATGGAGGCTGTGAGAGGCAGGGAAAGCGCACCCCAGGATCCCCTTCTCCAGGCAGCCACTCCCTATGTGGGCGGGCGCCTTAATACCGCTAGACCTACTTGTGGGGAGCTGCAGGAGCCTTGGAGCAGACTGTGGGGCCCCTGGCAGGGGCATTTCAGGAAGAGTCAGGAGCCGCCTTAGTGTGTCTTCCTTAATGAAGTGGCCACGGCCAGATCCTCCCAGCTCAGGGGTTCATGCCTGGGCACACATGCAGCATTCTGCAGGCCAGTGTGCACCCAGCCCCCAACTTGGGCCTCATTATTTCAGGTGACCAGAGGTCAGCAGCTTCCCAGAAGCCCCGAAGCCGGGGCATCCTCCACTCACTGTTCTGCTGCGTCTGCCGGGACGATGGGGAGGCCCTGCCTGCCCATAGCGGGTCGCCTCTGCTTGTGGAGGAGAATGGTGCCATCCCCAAGGTGTGTGGGGGCCAGGTGGGGCTTCAGGGCTTTAGGGGAAGGGGTTCCTGACTGAGCTTTTCAGGACATACTTATGGACCCTGACAGGTCCAGAGCGGGAGGGTGTCAGCCTCCCCTGCCAGACTCTGCCCACTATGGGGAAACTGAATTCTCCCTCATAGGTGGAAGCTTTTCTCTACCTTGGTTTTCAGAGAGGGCTCAGCCAGGTGGCCTATCCAAGCCGGAGCTGGCAGGGGCAAAGCTGGGAAGCAGGTGGTATCTGCCCCGGGCTCCAGGGCTCCTCTAGAGAGGGCAGGAGGAAGGATGGGGCCTGGAGAGAGGCCCCCCAGCCAGCCCCACCCTTCCCACAGCAGACCCCAGTCCAGTACCTGCTCCCCGAGGCCAAGGCCCAGGACTCAGACAAGATCTGCGTGGTCATCGACCTGGATGAGACCCTGGTGCACAGCTCCTTCAAGGTGGGCCCTGCTCAACAGCCCTCAGTCTGGGTCTCGGCGGGGTCCCCCACCCTGGCCTGGGAGGGAGGTGTATGCTGGGCCCTGCCCCCTGGGGCTACCCCCTCCAACTCCAGCAGCTCTTTTCCCCCTACAGCCAGTGAACAACGCCGACTTCATCATCCCTGTGGAGATTGATGGGGTGGTCCACCAGGTGAGGGCCAGGAGGAGGCAGTGGTGGGCTTGGCCTCTGCCTTCCAGACCCCAGGCTATTCCCACCAATCCGGAGCGCCTTGGATGGGAATTGCATAGACGTGGAATGTCAAAGGCCCAGAGAGGGTGTGAGGCTTGCCTCAAAGGCACACAGAACCACAGGGGCTTGGGCTGACTCCAGGCTGCAGCGTGGGCTCCTCTTCTAGGCCCCCCGTTCTGTGCCCCTTCGCCCCACCCTGCCCGGGACCCAGTTCAAGTAATTCAGGATAGGTTGTGTGCTGTCCAGCCTGTTCTCCATTACTTGGCTCGGGGACCGGTGCACTGCAGCATTGGGGTGAGGGGGCTGCCCCTGACTTCTGCACTGGGCTGAGGCTGAGGCAGGGGAAGGGACTGGGAATTAGTGACTTCATGAGGTAGGACTGGCCAGTGGAGTGGAAGTTTTGATCGTTTTCTGGGAGGGGGGGTGGTTTCCCCAGAAGTGGTCAGGGTGGCTGGCCAAGTGGAGCCTGCAGGCCCAGCCTCCTTCCTGTGCGCCTCTGCCTCCCCAGCCCATGCCCTCCCAACCCTCCACTGCCCCTCCCCTGCCCCACTGGCCCGCAGCCTCCTCACTGGCTTGCCCCCCAGGTCTACGTGCTGAAGCGGCCTCACGTGGATGAGTTCCTGCAGCGAATGGGCGAGCTCTTCGAATGTGTGCTGTTCACTGCCAGCCTCGCCAAGGTGAGCCCCACAGAGGTCCTGGGGTAACCCTGCCCTCCCACCCGCCTCCGGCATGCAGCCCAATGAGCCTGCAGGCTCCAGGATGACCTGCCTCTTGCTCCCAGTATGCAGACCCAGTAGCTGACCTGCTGGACAAGTGGGGGGCTTTCCGCGCCCGGCTGTTTCGAGAGTCCTGTGTCTTCCACCGGGGGAACTACGTGAAGGACCTGAGCCGGCTGGGCAGAGACCTGCGGCGGGTACTCATCCTGGACAACTCGCCCGCCTCCTACGTCTTCCATCCGGACAATGCCGTGAGTGTGGGCTGGCCTGGGACAGGAGCTGAGACCCAGGAAGGGAAGCAGGCCACCTTGGCCTCCTGGATCCCCAGTTGGCTGGTGTCGGGGGGCAGGTGCCCTCCCCGTCCTTCCTGCATTCAGTTGCCTGAGCCTGCCACCCACTTCCCTCGTCTACCTGCCCTGTAGCCACGAGGTCCATTCCAGTCACACACAGCAGAGTGTCTGCCAGGCACAGGGGCCTCCACAGGGCAGTGAAGTTTGGAAAGTTTCAGCCTTTCAAGCTGCCAGTTGTGACCTACTGACGGCCCACAGAATGAATTTAGTGGGTCCTGATCGGGAATTTTAACAGAATGAAATAGAGTAGAAATAGTGTAGTGGCTTATACCTGTAATCCTAGCTCTTTGGAAAGCTGAGATGACGGGGTAAGCTGAGCCCAGCAGTTCAAGTCCAGCCTCGGCAACATGGTAAAACCTTGTCTCTACAAAAAAACCGAAAAACTAGCCAGGCGCAGTGGTGCATGCCTGGAGTCCCAGCTATGCAGAAGGCTGAGGTGGGAGTATCACTTGAGCCTGGAGGCAGAGGTTGCGGTGAGCCAAGATTGCGCCAGTGCGCTCCAGCCTGGGCAACAGAGCGAGACCTTGCCTCAAAAAAAAAGAAAGTAATGGAGTGCTTTGCACAGTTAGGGTTAAGAGGCTTGAAGCTTTTGCATTGTTATGTTATAAATGTGTTTTCCTGGAGGTTGCTGTCAAAAAAGTTTGGAAGTTGTGGGGGAGGGGTTTTCAGAATCTGCATGGCGTGAGTCGTGGCTACATAGGGCTTGCCTGGAAATTCTGCACCCAGGACCACCTGCCCTCCGCTCACCTTCCTACGCCCACTTCCCCAGGTACCGGTGGCATCGTGGTTTGACAACATGAGTGACACAGAGCTCCACGACCTCCTCCCTTTCTTTGAGCAACTCAGCCGCGTGGACGACGTATACTCAGTGCTCAGGCAGCCTCGGCCAGGGAGCTAGTGAGGGTGATGGGGCCAGGACCTGCCCCTGACCGACGACACCCACACCTCCTACCAGGAAGACTGCCCAGGCCTTTGTTAGGAAAACCCACGGGCCGCCGCCACACTCAGTGCCATGGGGAAGTGGGTGTCTCCCCCACTAGCCCCGCCAGGTGGCATAGGGACAGCAGGCTGCACTGAGGACCATGAGCCGGGGGCCCCCTTCAGTGCCTTTGAACCTCCTCCCCCCTTCTCAGGGGACCTCGGGGGCCCTGCCTGCTGCTCCCTTTTTCTGTCTCCTCTGTCCATGCTGCCATGCTTCTCTGCTGCCAAATTGGGCCCCTTGGCCCCTTCCAGTTCTGCTTCCTGGGGGCAGGGTTACTGCCTTGGGCCCCCAGTCTGGGAACGGTGGACATCAAGTGCCTTGCATAGAGCTCCCTCTTCCCCACCCAGCTTTCCCAGGGGCACAGCTCTAGGCTGGGAGGGGAGAACCAGTGCCTCCCCCTGCCCCACCTCCTCCCTTGGGAGAGGGCCCCCACCAACCTCTGCCTTTGCTTGGGAGGGAGAAGAGGTCTGTTAGCACTGGGAAAGGAAGCGGGAATCTGTCCTTCAGGACCCAGAGGGCAGCTTCTCCAGGGCTGACAGCTGAGGGCTGCTCCCCGAATCACCCAAGCTACCACCTCAGACTCGGCCTTAACCAGCCCTGGGGCTTGGCTCCCCCAGCTCCTGAGTGTGGGGGCAAAGGCAAGACCCTCTTGTGGTGCCATATAAATATGTATATGTGTATATAGAATTTTAGGGGAGGGAGAGAGGGAAGGGTCAGGGTAGAGACACCCCTCCCTTGCCCCTTTCCTGGGCCCAGAAGTTGGGGGGAGGGAGGGAAAGGATTTTTACATTTTTTAAACTGCTATTTTCTGAATGGAACAAGCTGGGCCAAGGAGCTCCAGGCCCTGTCCTCTGCCTCTCACACCCCTTTGCTCCGTTCATTCATTCAAAAAAACATTTCTTGAGCACCTTCTGTGCCCAGCATATGCTAGGCCCACCAGCTAAGTGTGTGTGTGGGGTCTCTATGCCAGCTCATCAGTGCCTCCTCACCCACCCAACTTCACTGGTGCCTTTGGGGGATCTGTAGGAGGTGGGATCTTTTGTGGGGTTTGGGGATCTCCAGGAAGCCCGGCCAAGCTGTCCCCCTCCCCTGTGCCAACCCATCCTCTACAGCCCCCTGCCTGATCCCCTGCTGGCTGGGGGCCGCTGCGGGGATATCCTGCCTTCCAACTCCGTTTCTGAAGCCCCTCCTAACAAGGCGATTCCGGAGGTCGAGGCCTTGGGCTCTCCCCGAGGTCTAAAGGTTAAGGGGACCCACATACCAGTGCCAAGGGGGATGTCAAGTGGTGGTTTCGTGGTGCCTCCCTCCCGTAGAGTTGGGGGGCGAATACGGTTGGTCTGCGTCAGGTGGCTTCCCCATTTAAGTGCCTTCTCTGTGGCTGAGCGCCCTAGTGTGATGAGAACTAAAGAGAAAGCCAGACCCCCATCCTGCTTCTGTGGTTATTGCGGGGGGCTTGGCAAGTGATGTGTGCTTCGCACCTGCGGCTGCTGCGGTGCCCCTCTTCAGCACACCTGGAGGGGCTGGTGGTGGAGGAAGGAGCTGCCCGGGTCTCCGGACGCTTCAGGTGGCAATGGGTAGCGTCACAGCGCAAAATCTGAGCCTCCAGGCTGTGGAGATGTGCCATCTTGGCAGGACTAATTAAAATGCCTGGACACGGTCGACGGGATACTGCTAGCTGCAAAGCAGAACGAAGGCCTAGGGTAGGGGCAGCTCTGGAATGCGGCGGGGAGGCGTGGCCTCTGCCCCAGAGCGGAAGGGGCGGGGCTCGGGGTGGAGGCCGCCGCGGCAGAACTTGGCTCTGGTGCGGGGGTCTGCCGCGGGGTCTGCCGCGGGGCCTGGGTGGGGCAGGCGCTGGGGCTCGGCCCACCCCGCCCCTTGCGGCCTCTGAGCCGCCATTGGCCTCACCTCGCCCCGCTTTCCGCCCCGCCCCGCGTCCCGGCGGCACTTCCTTTGCAAAACCGCGGTCCCCGGCCTGGGCAGGAAATGCCCTCCCGCCCTTCCCGCCGGCCTTCGCCTGCTCCCCACGCCGGCCGCTAGAGGCCTCCCTGTCCTCGCGGACGCTGGGGCTCCCCGGGGACTGGAAAGATGGGGCCCTCCTCACTCACCCGTGGGGGTGGGGCTTTTAGGGAGACCCCACCGCACACACCCAGAGAAGAAAGGGAAATGCCTCGCTCAAGTGTTGGTGCCTGCGCCCCAGCTCCACCTCCCCATCCCGCCTGCTCAACACCTTACCTCGTGAATCCAGCCCCCACGCTGCCTCTTGGTGCTCCAGACGCTGATCGGCCCCCAAGTCTGTGATCAGCGCTGTGTGAAACCGCCCTTTGTCCTCCTTCAACTACGTTTCTCTGGTAGAAAAAATTCAAGAAGCACCCACCTGGAGAAACCGGGAGTACCCTAGTCTCAGTTTCGGCCCGGGCTGGACCACAAGAGCCCTTGGCTAGATAAATACCCAGTCCTCTCCGGTCTTTGCCCTCATCCTCCTCATCCTCGGGTTCTGCTCTTACTTCCTGCTCTCCATGCAAACACTGATCCTCCCAGATTTGCATCCCGGAGGCCAGATACATACGCAAAGTAGCTCCAGACTGTTGGGACCACAGTGAGGCTTCCCCACTACCACCACCTACGCATCATCTACCCACATGAAGTTCAAGTCAACCACATGTATCGGGTGCGTACTGTGTGCAAGGCACCGTGCCAGGACCAGGCTATGCCTCTGCTCTCAGGGAACTCACACCCTAGGATGGATACAAGGAAACGTGAACAGATGATCACTGCAATTCTGCAAATGCAGCACGGGAGAAAGTGGAAGTTGGGTGAGGGCAGGGGACACCCAGCCCTGCCTGGCAGCCATGGAGGACTGGAAAACACTCCCTGCAGGAATGAGGATAACAGGAGTTTGGAAAGGAGGAAATGAGGCAGCAGAATGCCGGAGTGGGTAGATTATGCAGATCTATGGCCAGACCAAGGGAGTGGCCTTGGCGTGTTTTTTATTTTATTTTATTTTATTTGAGATGGCGTCTGTGTTGCTCAGGCTGAAGTACAGTGACGCGATCTCGGCTCACCACAACTTCCACCTCCCGGGTTCAAGTGATTTGCCTACCTCAGCCTCCCAAGTAGTAGCTGGAACAAGAGGTGTGCACCAGCATGCCCGGCTAAATTTTGTATTTTTAGTTGAGATGGGGTTTCGTTATGTTGGCCAGGCTGTTCTCCAACTCCTGACCTCATGATCTGCCCACCTCGGCTTCCCAAAGTGCTGGGATTACAGGCGTGAGCCACCGCGCCCAGCAGTTTTTCGTTTTCTTTTTAGATGAGGTCTCTGTCTTCCAGGCTGGCATGCAAAGGCATGATCATGGCTCCCTGCAACCTCGACCTCCTGGGCTCAAGCCATCCTCCCACTTCAGCCTGTAGGAGTATCTGGGACTACAGGCGTGCACCAGCATGCCTGGCTAATTTATTTATTTATTTATTTATTTGGTAGAGACCGGTTTTTTGTTTGTTTGTTTGTTTGTTTTTTTAAGACGGGGGTTTCACCATGTTGGTCAGGCTGGTCTCGATCTCTTGACCTTGTGATCTGCCTGCCTCCGCCTCCCAAAGTGCTGGGATTACAGGTGTGAGCCACCGCGCCCAGCTGGAAACAATTTTTAAGAACATGTTCACCAAAAGATTCTTTCGGCTAAATTAAAAGGCAAGCAAGAAACTAGAGAAAAATATCTCATAAATGACGGGCAAGTTACCAGCCTTAAGACGTTAACTATATAAACAATCCCAACAAATTAATTGAAAGCACACAAAGGACAACATAGCCAATAAATAGATTTTTAAATGGTCTCTCTCACTGGTAATCCAAGAAACATAAACTGTTTCCTTTTTTGTCAATCAAACTGATAGAGATCTCCATTAAGACTGTAGCAGAGCACTGGGGAGAGATGGAGACTCAGGCACTCATGCATTGCAGGTGGGACTATCCGTTAAGGCAGCTTTTCTGAAAGGCAGTTTGCCTATTCACGTCTTTGACTCAACGACCTCACTTTTTGGATTTTATCCCAAAGAGATAGTGGCATAATCTAATGGCAAATATTTAGCAATGAGAATATTTACCACAGCATTCTTTGTTGTATCAAATAATTGGATAAAATTTGGAAGTACAATAATAAGCTATTGGTTACATAAACTGTGCTGTCTAATGAATTACTATAAAACAACTGAAAAGTCGCCGGGCGCGGTGGCTCACACCTGCAATCCCAGCACTTTGGGAGGCCAAGGCGGGATTGCTTGGGCCCAGGCATTTGAGAGCAGCCTGGGCAATATGGCGGAAACTCCATGTCTACCAAACAATGACAACAAAATTAGCCACACATGGTGGCATGTGCCTGTGGTCCCAGCTACTCGGGAGATTGAGGTGGGAGAATGACTGAGCCCAGGGAGGTCGAGGCTGCAGTGAGCCATAATTACAACAGTGCACTCCAGCTTGGGCACCACAGCAAGACCCTGTCTCCAAAAAAAAAAAAGAAAGAAATTGTAAAACAAGATATATCATATGACAGTTAAAAATATATGCATACAGGCCGGGCATGGGGCTCACACCTGTAATCCCAGCGCTTTGGGAGGCTGAGGCAGGCAGATTGCCTGAGCTCACGGTTTCGAGACCAGCCTGGCCAACATCACAAAGCCCCGTCTCTACTAAAAATACGAAATTGAGCCGGGGGTACTGGCATGTGCCTGTAATCCCAGCTACTTGGGAGGCTGAGGCAGGAGAATTGCTTGAACTTAGGAGGCAGAGGTTGCAGTGAGCCAAGATGGCACCACTGCAATCCAGCCTGAGTGACAGAGAGAGACTACGTCTCCAAAAAAAGAAAAAAGGGCCAGGCGCGGTGGTGCGTGCCTGTAGTCCCAGCTACTCAGGAGGCTGAGGTGGGAATATTGCTTGAGCCCAGGAGTTATGGACTGTAGTGCGCTATGCCGACCGGGTGTCTGCACTAAGTTCAGCACCAATATGGTGACCTCCTGGGAGTGGGGGACCACCGGGTTGCCTAAGGAGGGGTGAACCGGCCCAGGTCAGAAATGGAGCAGGTCAAAACTCCTGTGCTGATCAGTAGTGGGATCGCAACTGTGAATAGCCACTGCACTCCAGCCTGGGCAACATAGTGAGACC